GAGAGAGAGAGAGAGAGAGAGAGAGAGAGAGAGAGCGGGAGACACAGAATCCAAATCAGGCTCCAGGCTCTAAGCTGTCAGCACAGAGCCTGATGCAAGGCTCGAACCCACAAACCTCAAGATTATGACCTGAGCTGAAGTCCAACACTCAAATGACTGAGCCGCCCAGCTGTCCCAAGATGCCCTCCAACTCTGAAAATGATATGTATGATTCTGTGAAATTGAACTCAGAGAACTTTATCTTTAGCTCAGTTTCCATAACAGTACAGGTTATACCGCCAGTTGATGTTTAAATACAGCCATACAGGTATATACAGTACCTAGAAGCTATTCCCAGAAGCTATTGGGGAGGGAGGGTGTCACATAAATATAAGATTTGATATTAAGATATGTTTTTTAGGATATGCATCACAGTGTAGACTTTGCAATGATGTTTATTAAAATTCTCCTTAGGTACACGGGACAGGGCAGGATGGGAAGATTCTAAAGAATGAGGAAAAGCTGGTGTCTTCCTCAATTAGCTTCCTATCTAAGGGAGAAAGAAAATACAAATGTCAAGTTTTTTAATAATAAACACATATAAAAGAATATATTGCAATTAAAATTAAACTGTCAAGTATTATATTACCAAAAAAACCCCAAATAAAAAAAATTCTTATGTTACCCAAAATAGGAACATTTTTCATTGTGGATAGTTTTGAAAATATATAAACTAACAAAAATCATTGATAGTCCCACTACTAATTTCATGAGTTTACTTCTGGCTTTGTTTTTTATGCGTATATACTATATATTTATATTTAGTATTTATATTTATATTGTTTTGTTTTTATAAAAAGCAAATTGTTACAATATATGTATGTAGTTTATTCCCATGATAGTCTTACAATATATCCATTAGTATTTTTCTTTTGAAACACTTTTAAGGACTACAATATGCTGCATATGAATGTATCATATATTCAACAATTTTATGATACTTTATATACTTTGCTTAGAATTCTTCCAATTTTTAGATAAACTGATGATGAATATCTTTGTATTTGGGCACATTTCTGATGAGCTCTTCCAAATAAATTTTTATAAGGATAATAGCTAGTTGAAGGTTAAATACTTTTAAAAATCTCTTGATATGGACTGGTAAATTAGCCTTCAGGAAGATTATACTTCTGTAAACAATTTCAAAGAGTACATACCCAACAGTACTTTTTTGCTTAATAGTGAACAAAAACTAATTTAAAATATCCATCTGATGAGTCAGTTCTTAAAATCCTTGTCAAACCAGACTAGCCTTTATTAACATAAAGAAGGGATCAGGTGGAATAAATCAGGAAGTAGGTAATGAAGGACAGTGCCAATTAGGATCTGTATATGATAGACTATATCTTTAGGGGAGTACTTCTTTATCTTACTGTGAAGCATTTTTTTCTTTTTTAGATTTTTAAAAATATATTTATTTATTCAGGGTGGGGGGAGGGGCAGAGAAAGAGTACGGAGAAAATCCCAAGCAGGCTCTGGGCTGCCAGCATAGAGCCCCACTTGGGGCTTGATCTCACAAATGGTGAGATCATGATCTGAGCCAAACCAAGAGTCGTATGCTCAACTGACTGAGCGACCCAGGCTCCCCTATTGTAAAGCATTTTTTAAGCATCAAATTACTAAAGCAAATTACAAAGCATCTCTCCCCCCGCCCCCGCTTTATTCATATAATTTACAAATAACATGTAAGGTTAAGGTGTACAATGTGATGGTTTGACATATATATAATGTGAAATGATAACGACAGTAAGGTTGGTTAACCCAACCATCACCACGCATAATTGCAATTTCTTTGTAAGAACATTTAAGATCTATTCTATTAGCACCTTCCAGGTAAATAATACAATATTGTTAACTATAGTCATGATCCTGTACATTAGATCCCCAGAATTTATTCATCTTCTAATTAGATTATATCCTTTGACCAACATCTCCCCATTTCCCCCACACTCCATGCCAACTACCATTCTTTTGTTTTGTTTTGTTTTGTTTTTTTAAGTAGGCTTCAAGTCCAGCATGGAGCCCCAGACGGGGCTTAAACTCACAACCCTGAGATCAAGACCCAAGCTGAGATCAAGAGTTGGATGCTCAACTGACTAAACCACCTAGGTGCCCCTCAACTACCATTCTATATTTCAATGAATTTAGCTTTTTTTAGACTCCACAAAGTGAGGTCATATAGTATTTGTTTTTCTCTATCTGACTTATGACTTAAAAAAATATAAAAGCCTTATTGATATATAATTTACATATCATACAAATCACCTACTTAATATGTATAATTCAGTGTTTTTTAAGTATATTCACATATATATATGCCCATCTATCACCACAATCAGTTTTTTTTTTTTAAGTTTATTTATTTTGAGAGAGAGAATGTGAGCAGGGGAGGGGCAGAGGGAAAGGGAGATAGAGAATCCAAAGCAGGCTCCACGCTGTCAATGCAGAGCCTGACACAGGGCTCAATTTCACAAACCATGAGATCATGACCTGAACCAAAATCAAGAGCCAGATGCTTAACCAACTGAGCCACACAAGTGCCCCACCACAATCAGTTTTAAAGTGTTTTAATCACCCCAAAAAGAAGCCCTATTCCCCTTAGTAGTCACTCCTTATCCCCCCTACCCCTCTCTCCTCCAGCCTCAGGCAACCTCTAATCTAGTTTTTGGCTATATATTTGTTTATTTTGGACATATGATATAATGGAATCGTATAGTATATGGTGTTTTGTGACCAGATTAATTTTGACATGATTATAGTTCCTAAAGAGTTGTATATAAACATTGTCCTTGACCTCTATTCTAAATTTCATAGAATTTTGAAGTTAGGCAGACATTATCTTAAAAATAAAAAATAACTTTTTGTTAGGGAAAATTTCAAATATATTCAAAAGTAATGAGTAAGAGTAAATGTTACAATAGCTGTCCAATAAGCTAGTACTTATGACTAGCTACTTATGACTAGCTTCCATAGTGATTATCTTGGCCAGTTATCAACATATGGCCAATTCTGGTTTACCTATAGCCTCTGCCTACTGGATTATTTTAATATCTATCTAATTATTTATTTAGTCATTTTATTTTATTTTATTTTTATTTCCTTGAGTAATCTCTACACCCAGTGTGGGGCCTGAATTCATGACCCTGAGATTAAGAATTGCATGCTGTACTGACTAAGCCAGCCAGGCACTCCTCTACTGGATTATTTTAAAGCAAATTCCAGACATTATATCATTTCATCCATACATAATATGGAATGTATCTCTAAGAAATAGTGACTCTTTTTAAATGCAAAACTATAATTTTATTATATCTAGAAAATTAACAATAATTTCTTAATGTAATATAGTAACTAGCCAGTATTCACGTTTTCTCAATTGTGCCATATATGTCTTTTCACAGTTGGTTTATTTCAAATTAGTATTCAAGCAAGATCTACACATTGCATTCGGTTGATATGTCTCAAGGCTTTTTTTAGCCTATAAAATTTTTGTCCGGTAATTTATTTATGGAAGATTTGGTCATTTGTCAAATCCACATTCTAGATTTTACTGATTATATTCTGGTAGTTTTTTTCTTTTTTAAAACATGTTCTTCTAGCCCCTGTTTTTCTGTGATCTGGTAATTAGGGGTAGAGGCTTAATTAAAATCAGGTTCAATTTTTTTTAAGATTTTATTTTTTTGGGGGGCACCTGGGTGGCTCAGTCGGTTAAGCGTCCAACT